CTCTCTCTCTCTCTCTCTCTCTCTCTCTCTCTCTCTCTCTCTCTCTCTCCGTCTGTGCCTTTGTCTGTTTTCATGTTCATCACTCTTCTGAGTCTTGCCTTATCAGCCCCTCACATTGACACTGTTTTCCAGACTGCTCCATCATCCCAGACATCAAATCAGTAGAAGAAGAAAGGAGGGAAAAAAAATAAAGCAACAAAAACAACATGCATTTTCATCTGAATATACACCAGCAACAACCCCACAAAAACCCAAGACAAGAAAAGCACAAACATGCGAACACACGAGCACGCAGGAACACGACAGGAAAGCGAAACGTGCACTCGCACAAAACCTTCCCAGACACACGGCGCATACCGACAGACAAACACACAAAGCACAAAACAGCAAACACAAAGCACAGCGCAGCCAGAAGTCTACTTTATGCAGAAATATTCTAAAGTGTGTTTTACAATACAATTAAACATCAAAGGCTGATATATTCCTCTGTGATCTTTAACACCCCAGCGAACATACCCCCCCCACACATATACACACACACACACACCAATCCACCCACAGCACACGCAGAAAGTTACTGAACGTCACTGCTAATTGCTAGATAGAGACAGAAGAATACTTCGCATTATCATGCAAAACCAGGACATATTCAAATATATGCATTCAACCCGCCATAAACCACTCAAACACTGAAATGTTTATTTTAGATTATTGACATTTTCTAAAAGTTTCACATGTAATTGTAACTTATAACAACACACACAGAGTGTTTCTAACTGAAACAGATCATTGGATGAAAAAATTCTAACACCCTTGATGACTTGAAATAAATGACTAAGTTGTGAGGTTAACACAGGCTATAAATAATAAAAATTAAAAAAGGTGTAAGTATTAAAAAAGAAAAAAAAAGTCATGCAAATAAAACTAACACTTTATTTTTTTGATTATTAAAAGGTGTAAGYGTTTATATCTTCTATCAAATGGGCAAAGAAAAACAAAAAAAATATGTAAAAACATAAAGTAAAAACTTGACAAAGTGCTTTAAAAATATCCAGAGCATACAAAGATATCTCTCAGTAGCTGAAGTTATTATTCTCATAATCTCAAGTAAATATAATTGTCTACACTTGACTCTTCTATTACCTTTTCATTGAAGCCAAAGGGCATGAAGTCCAATTACACTTCTTCAATATCTAGCTTCAGATCTTGCCAAGCGGCTATCTGCAAATAAATGTTTTACTGGTGTTTAACTGAGCAAACTCTGCAAACTCCTTCCAAAATATTTGAAACTATTACGGAAGGAAGAAAAAAAAAACTTTGAAGCTTAGCAAAAAAAGGGGAGCTATTAAACTATTTGCTTAAACATAAATACATTTGATGTTTTCATGAAGAATAATGTTTTCATAGATCAGGTTTTCCACGAAGAAGGAATCTGAAAATGAGCCTTTTGTGTAGTTTGTAATGTCTCTGCTCTGAGCAGCACAGTGGTAAAGAGAGCACCCCTTATAGCAAACCCTTTACACCACTTAGAAGTGAACTTTTTGATGATAATCGTGTTGATCTCTGAAGTTATTTATGAGCTTTATCTTACATGTTTTTGAGCAACGTATGCATTTACCACTGAAGATATTTACAGCAGTTTGTTCCACGTCAGAAAACTTTGAAAACCCAAAACCTTGCAAAAAAAAAAAAAATCCCCTCAGCGTGGGATACAACGTGTCCCTTCCTCTCACTTAACTAAAGCTCTGCTGAGCCCCTGGTGTACAGCAAAGTGACCTGACAATCGGCTCAATGCCCCGGCCAATCAGAAGGACACGTGCCCTCCTAATCCCCCCCACCGTTCTTTGAGAAAGGGTAAGAGTGTGTTGTCACTGTTGGTTTTGTGAATCAGCACCCCCACCAATCAAAATCCCAAATGATTTGCCAAGAGGTGGGGGACTGAAAAAAGTAAAAGAAACAAAAGCGATGCAGGCCAGATAGCGTGGGTGTTGATGCACTGAAAAAGTGTGTGTGTGTGTGTGTGTGTGTGTGTGTGTGTGTGTGTGTG